ATTGCAGATCCAGAACATTTCATTATAATGTATTCATATAATTATATAATATTATTTATTATTATTGTGTCATTTATTATTTCATTATTGCAGATCCAGAACATTTCATTATAATGTATTCATATAATTATATAATATTATTTATTATTATTGTGTAATTTATTATTTCATTATTGCAGATCCAGAACATTTTATTATAATTTATTCATATTATTATACAATATTGTTTATTATTACATAATTTATTATTTCATTATTGCAGATCCAGAACATTTCATCATAATTTATTCATATAATTGTATAATATTATTCATTATTATATAATTAATTATTTCATGAATGCAGATCCAGAACATTTCATTATTATTTATTTATGATTTTATATTATTATTTATTATTATATAATTAATTATTTCATGAATGCAGATCCAGAACATTTCATTATTATTTATTTATTATTTTATATTATTATTTATGATTATTATTATTCCACACGGCGTCCCGTCTGAGTTGGAGAACGAAGTGGAAATTTTTGAGGGGATTTTTGAGGGTCTCCACCATCTCGGTGTGGGAGTTTGTTTGTCAGGTTTTCAGGAGGCCAGGTCGACATCGAATATCCAGGAAATAACAGACTAGTTTGAGCAGAGGATTTTGATGGGATGAACGATGTCATAACCCAAACACATGTCTGTCTCTCCTCACAGTCACAATGGACCTCCACGATAAAGAAATCCTGCCCGGGGAGATTTTACCTGTGGTCGTTATCGGTAAGAAACCTATTCAAAGGTTCCACAGTCAGTCTGTCAAAGCGGTAGTAGAAGCAGATGTGCACACAGGATGGAGAAAGACACGTTTCAGCAACAGGAAGGGCGTCCTGGAAGTGTTTTGCAGTCTTTTTTACCTCTGAAATGTGGCTTTGGAAGCTGACAGGACACTTTGCTGAGTCACTTGTCTGAAGTGCTGTGTCATGCTTGGCGCCTCCTCAGTTGTAGGGTTGTCAAAAGTATCGATACTCGAAAAAGTATCGATACTAAAATGTTGTATCCGGATACGATACTCATTTTCAAAAGTATCGATACCACCACCCCCACGCCCCTTCTCTCAGATTTATTTATGTATTTTTTTACGTTGTTTATGGTCATTAACAAGTTGTTAGCCTTGAACTGCTAGCTTCGGCTAATGGCTAATAATAACATGCTACCATTAATCAAGCACATATCCGACTCCGCCCACATCGAAGTCGGCCATTATATCTACATCAACAATAGGAAGATTCCAGATTCCAAGAAAATCCTAATTGCCTCATGGCAATATAGAGATTCATTTAAAAATTGTGAAATTAATCTTTCAAACACTTAATTAAACTCTATACATATTATTATGTTAAAATAGTGTATGTTAAATAGGTTGGTCCAAACAAGTTTAACCAAAAAAATATTTATTTCTCACAATTATGAAGGGTGGAGGATTAGGGTTTGGGTTAGGTTCAGGGTTAGGGTTAGGGTTATTAATGCAGGCCACCAGTCACGATAACATTAGTAACAGGTCAGTTTGAAATGAAAGACACTAACCTTTCAAAATTCATTTAAATTTTGGGGTCTTTTTTTAATCCTTGTGGTATCGAAAATGGTATCGAGTATTTTCCTGAGTATCGGTATCGAGTTGAACATTTTAGTATCGTGACAACCCTACTCAGTTGGACATGAAATATGCAGATACAAAGCCACTGGGGGGGGGGGGGGGGGGGGGTTTTTTAAAAACACCCGCTCTGATTGGCTGGGACTGATCCGGCTGTGCTGGTCTCTCCCCAGGTAACGGGCCCTCGGGGATCTGCCT